TGGGCTCCAGGACCCCCTGAGGTTACGAGAGTTGGAGATGCTCAAGTCCCTGATATGAAAGGCACAGCTACACATAGCCCACATAGTCCTCTGTCTTTAACATCCGTCTGCACATTCCTGACACCGAATACAGGGTGAATGCCATTGGAATTATACTACATTGCTTAGGGAACCATGACAAGGAAAAAAATCTATGTTCAGTATAGACCCAGTTTTTTTCAAATGCTTTTGATTTGCTGTTGGCCCTCAGCTCTGGAGGGCCATCTTTGCCAGTCCCCAGAGCAGTGGCACTTTCTGCTTGTCCCCTGTAAGCTTCTGGCGTATGAGCGAGAGCGAAACCTGGGGAGATTGTGAGGAGAGCTGAGCCCTGCCTGGGGAGCCCTGCTGCCTGTCACTCCCTGCCTGATTTCAGGCCCCTGACCAGGTCAGCTCTCTTCCTGGTGACCCTTGCCCGGCCTGGCCAGGCCCTTGTGCCGGGATTGACAGGCGACACTACCGGAGGGTTCTGAGTGGTAAGTGATGTTTTGGGTGGGGAAGAGTTCCACAATGCTTTGGATGAACCACACTAGGTCCCCCAGTAAGTGCCCTGGGAAGAGAGATGCTGGCCAGTGTTGCCAGCCAGAGAAGGGCTCTGGCCAAGGCTGGAATGTTAGTGCTCCCAAGCCCTCAGGGAGCCAGACACGCTGGGAAGGGCGAGGGCAGACCGCCCAGGGCTGCCTGGCTGAGTGGGAATCCGGCAGCAGGGACACCAGGTTTTGGTCTGTACTGTCTGAGGCCACACAGCACCGAGGGCTCCCAGTGGCCTCTCCAGGAATAGGGTCTGTCTGCTGCAGGCATGTCCCATTCCCCAGGTGTGGAGGGGACTGGTGTTCTTTCTCCTGTCACCGTCAGCTCCATCTCGGGCAGACCCGGTGCAAGAGGCCGACCCACACGAGGGGACCTGGAAGGAAGAGTGGGAAATACGGCGGGGGCGGACTGCAGCACAGGTTGGTGGTTCCGACCTCGTGGCTGCTCACAATGGCCCTCTGCCTGCCAGCCCACCTGAGCAGCTCTCAGGAGAAGGAGGAGCCTGTCCTTTCCCTTCTCAGATTTTCCTCCCAGCCTCCCAAACAGTTGGTTGATGTCCATGATGATCCCCGGCAGCTGGCAGGTCGTTCCCCAGGTAGAGAGAAGGAGCCTTGGACAAGCTACACGGGTGGGTTTGGGCTCCGCAGCTAGGCTCCTCCAGACTCTGGTTGTCTTGTTAGGCACAGGGACCAATGAAACCAGCTACATGAGTCCCAAGGAAGGTTACCAAGATAATATATGCGAAGTCACTCTGCAAGCTACTTCTCAATGCTAGTAATATTTTACTATTCTAATTAGGACTAGTTTGATGATCTTTTGTTTCTTAACCCAGTGCCCTTTTGTTCAAAATTGCTTATTCATCCATCCATTCATGCAGTAATGAGTTTTGAATGTTTGCAAGGAGTCAAGAGCTCCTCCGCTCCTGGAAGTAGGAAGCTAAAATAGATAACCAGGAAAAGGAGCTCAGGCTAGAGGCAAGTCAGGCTGCAGAGGTGGGTGTGGGCATCACCAAAATCAGTGAGTGAGCAAAGTCGGGAGGGCATGGAGAGACGTCAGTGAGGGGCTTTGCTGTGGCTGAAGTAGCACGGAGGCCTCACGGGTCCCTCATACCCAAGACGCTTGGATTCATTTTTTGTGGGGTAGGATCTGCTCTCAGAAACCGTGAGAAACATAGAACAGGGAGGTCACTTCCTTCAGGCCCTGCAGGGTCATCTCCTTGGAATGGGTGTACTGGGGCTCCAGTGAGATTGAGCTGGCCTGATTTGATTTTTTAAAAAATCTAAATAAAACATCTAAGCAATGTCCTTCACTCAGAATGGGTAGATTTTATTCAAATGAAAAAGAAAAAAGTCCCCTCCAGAATTAGATGTCTAATTTGCCAACTTGAAGCTACAGGGCACAACTTCCCAATTTGGAGTTTAGTGCTCCCTGTTGTGCAATTAGTTATGATTGATCATTCTGAAATTTACAAACCGGGGTCCTGTCACAGCTGACTGGACAGACTTTCGGTCACCCTTGTGGAATAAGCACATAGCTCCAGAGAGAGACCTCAAGGCCAGCTTGGCTGGTGCCGTTTCAGTGGTGTTGGGTCCACATTGGATGTGGGGCAGCCAATAGCCACCCAAATCTCAGTTCTAGCAGCTTTGATCCCCTCTGAGAACCCTAGGGTGGAGGAGAAAGGGAATGTGTTGTGTGTGCCACACAAGTTCTTTGAGCCAACCCAATGCCATGTTGGCCATTAGCCCACCACACACGCACACATGCACACACACGCACACACACACACACACACACACGCACACACATGCACGATCTTAAGAGGTCGCATTCTGTAGCTTGGGAAATCAAATTTGGGAGCACCAGGAAGACCACTCCCGATGATTCAACTGGGCAGTTGTATTTGGATTCGCACGAATAAGATGGCCTGCCTCTAAAGAAAATCAACCTCCAAACACTGTTGCCTTCCAGGATCAAACTTAGTATTGCAGGTCCCTCTTCCTGTTGCTGTCTGCCATCCCCACAAGTAAACCTCACAGAATGCCTTACCCACGGGAGTGCCCGGGGCACATCTGAAGAACCAGATGTTAGTGCCAGAAAGGATTTCTACTCCAAGCTCCCTCCTTTCATTTTTCCTAATGAAGATTCTGAGGTCCTGAAGGGGAGGAACACATTGGTCAGTGTTCTTTGTCAGTTGGAACAAGAGCATGAGTTGCCGCCCCCAGGTTCCCAGCACAAAGTGTGCAGGTTGTACACTGAGCAAAAGTACCTGGGCAAGGGAATGGGTTGGGTCTGAGCCCAGTCTACAACTGGGCTGAAGGAGGCAGGGCTTTGTCCTTTCACAGAGGTGCCATCTACTCACCAAGAAAGTATGGGGCCGCATCTGCTCCAAGGTGTCTGCATGTGAATAAATACAGAATGCTAGAGCATACTGGGCGGAAGTCAGGCGGTGGAGCGTCTTAGGGCTTTACTGATTCTCTTTGCAAGTGGAAACATTGAGTTCTGCTCCTCTGTGCCCACCACATGCATGCAAGTACCTATCCTCATCTATCCTCTCCATGTCTATCTGCCGCAGCCCATGCTGACCAGGACTTAGCAGGTAACGGATAGGAGTGGGGCACAGGGCTGGGGCAACATGCGCACATATCTGAGGGAGACCCTGCACCTGTTTGTCAGGCTGGGCTGTACGTGCCTTCCTGCGGTTTTCCCCAGTTCTAACAATCCTGTGCATGGAGTCACGATGGGCAAATCCTAGGTCTGAATGTCACCAGAGGAGGTCATGCACCCCAGAGGCAGGAGACACTGAGCAGCAGCAGGACTGACCCATAGCCACCCAGGGGCAGGCAGGCAGAGGGAAGAGCCATCAAGAAACGTGTGAAGAGCCCTCTAAACATGTTTGCAGAAGTAAGATGAGCCAGGCTTTGCATGCAGAAAATAAGGCAGGCACAATTTTGTCCACTCTTCTTCAGAATAAGAAGTAAGTTGGGCAATTGCTTGCACGTTCCCAAACCCTTGATTTTGTTCCCTTGTGAATTCCTTGGTGCACTCTGGAGCCTGCTCTAGGCAAGCTCCCGCCCTGGGAGAGGGAGAAAGTCAGCCTATTGTCCTTGCTCCCTTTAGGAATGGGGCCTCACGAGGGGTAACCAGGAAGGTCATGCAGGCCTGGGCCAAGACATGTGTATGGGTGTCTGACTCCAGAGAGCAGAGGCTCTGACTTGACCCCGGTTAGGTACTAGAGGAGGAGAGTGAATATCACTGGGGGCTTCTAACGGGCGCCCAGCATCACATGACCCACCGTGAAGACACCAAGAGAAGCCACTGAACTGTGTGCCCTTTGCCATCCAAGGCTTTTTTGTTTGTCAAATCCTACTTCCAGCCCTTGTTCAAGCTTCTTGGCAGAGCTCAGGCACTGCATGACTTTTCAGGGGACCTTGCAGCACGGGGGTCTCAGCACGAGTATGTGTCACCTTTCCCAGGAAAAGTTCAGAAGGAGCCAGCCAGCCATCAATGTCATGTGACGCCATCAACGTCACAGCAGTATCTAAGGATGCTTTTGCTGTGATCTCTGCGGCAATGAATGCAAATCATGTCTTTGTCTATGTCAGTTGGTCCAAAACCCAGCTAGGTAGTTTCTCCTGCCTCAGTGGGACCTCAGGTCTTGGAAGTGACTTGTGAGCAGAGAGGACTCAGCACAGGACCTGTGTCTCTTCCCCTTCTCCAAGGTCAGTTGATGGTGGCCTTCTACAGAGCCTCAGCAATGGGCCTGGCACTTCACACATGTTACTCATATAATCACTACACTCCCTCTCCATAGATCTCACTTTCTCTGGTTTTTTCTGGGGAATGGGACATTAGTTAGGTCAAATCATGTGTGCAAAGTCTACAGCTATTAATTAGAGGGTCCAGCACTTAACTCCAGGTTTCTCTGACTGGAGAGTCCAGTTTGTTTCCCTTCTAGACACTAGAGAGGCACCATGGGTCTGGTGGTGAACAGATGCAGGAGCCATGGCAGAGCCCTCCCTGCTTTGGGTTTGAACTGTCACAGTGACTGACATGGAACAGGAGCTATGATGGCAATGTCAAGGGTCATAGCATATTAGGCTTGGGCTCTTACCACTGCCACCAGTTCGCTGCCAAGCCTCAGTTCCCATGGTCGTGAATTCGGAGAGTAGTAATGCTTACTCATACTACATGGCACAATGCTTGCAGGGGGCTTGGACAGTACCAGGCACATGGAAACTGCTCAATGCCTCTCCAAGGAAAACATTCAAATAGTTTTCAGTGATCTTCATATGAATTAGCTTGGTGAAACATTTCACATCCTAAAAGTAGAATTGGAACAGGGCTAACAGCTGGAGATCTGGCTCTGAGTGAGGTGCTCAGGGCTCCTGGGTGGAGTCCCTGCACAGTGTGGCCTTGGGGTTCTTATCTTCCAGTCATCACCATATTTAAGGGTAAAGTGGAGGAGGTGGAGCTGCCTGTGGAGAAGGTAGACATCATCATCAGCGAGTGGATGGGCTACTGTCTGTTCTATGAGTCAATGCTCAACACGGTGATCTTTGCCAGGGACAAGTGGCTGGTAAGTGCCCCGCATGCTGTGCCGCCTTGGCCTGCTGGCTGTCTTGCTGCTGTCCCCATGGCCTATGGCCTAAGAAAAACACGAGGACTTCAGAGAGGACTCGGGCCAGAAGGTCACCTCTCCAGACCCCTCTGTTTAAAGTGGGTCCGCGTCGGGGACAGAATGATCGTCCCTAGCTGTCAGAATTGCTCTGTAGCTCTGACCTTGGCCACTACTGCTATAGTGGAGCTGGGTTTTCTGCTGTGCAGTGGAAGGTCCATTCTGCTTGCCTAGACCTGGGCCTGCATGGCTGCTGGACAGCAGAGCTCTGTCACTATGGCTCCCTGCTCTCATTGCTTGCCCCACTTCATTTGTTCTTTTGGCTCCACCCAGGCCCCTCCACTTCTCCTAGCTCCAAAGTAAACATTAACATTGCCCTCCCAGCCCTGACCCTGGCCAAGGTGACAGCCTGCTGAATAAGGAATGCTGGCAAGTGGGTGCTTGTCTGGTGACTTTATGTGCAGTTCAAAATGTGATGTCTTTGTCAGGTGAATAGATTACGAGACCCATTTCCCCACAATTCATCAACAGAAACCTGGAGGGCTTATGTTTCCAGACCGGGCAGCTTTGTACGTGGTAGCAATTGAAGACAGACAGTACAAGGACTTCAAAATCCACTGTAAGTCACCTTTGGATCTTTGTTGAGCTTCTACTGCACATGTGGGGTGGGAGATGCTCCCGTGAGCCTGAGAGGAGCAGACAGTGTCCAGGACACACTGCAAGCCCTGTCGTGTGTGCCTCCTTCTGGATTCCTCTAGAACAGAAGTAATATGGCTGAGAAATGTCCTGAGGGCAGGGGATGGACTCGGGAGAGTAAGGGAAGAATCCAAGGGGCAGAAGCTGAGTTTATGCAGAGAGCGGCCAGGCCTTTAGCCGCTCAGCTCTCAGAAGTCCACCATGGCAAGTCTCCCACCCATGCTCCTTCAAAGGCCTGAATCTGTTACAGTGATAAGTAATATCGACTCTGCTTCTTGCTGGGTAATTCAGATTCTCCTCTGAGTTTCTTTAGCCTTTGCTTTGAACAACCGGTCTTGTGTGTGTGTGCAGGGGAAGGGGATTCATAGGTAACCTGACCTCAGATGCCCGGCTAGCTAAAATTGGTTGTTCTCTTAGAAAGATAAAGTAAAAGCAAATGGTAAAAATCCTCTCCAATATTTTATCTGACCCACAATGGACAGTTTTGTTTTATTTCATTTAAAAGGCAGCATTTCTCAGCAGCATAGCTCTGGTCCCTAATGAGATCACACCAAGTATATTTCGTAAGGTTAGACACAGCCACCTCTCCTCACCAGAACTGAACATGATAAAGGAGCAAAGAACCCGTCCAACAAGCACACTGTCAAGCCAAGAGGTGTAAGCTCCAACTGGGTGACAGGTTCAGCACCTCGGGGGTCCTGCTGGATGGGTGGGTGAGCCCTGCTTTTCCAGCTCAGTGCAGAGGGATTTGCAGCCTGAACAGGTTGGTTCTCGCCTGCTGCCCAAAGAACTGAGATCCAGTTTCACCAGCGTTGCTCCATTGATTCCAGCTATTGTCACCTAATTGTTAGCACCCCAAGGAGCCCCCAGGGGACTGTGCTCCACAAAGTGTGTGTTCACGTGTGTGTCTTTGGGATTCCACACCACACTAGGAGTGGAAAACCAAAGCAAGCCATTCCAGGCCAGGTGCAGGGAGGCCAGGTGCAGGGAGGACAGGAATGAACAGTTGTCTGAGGCTCTGTCCTCCAGAAACCCATGCAGATCTCTGTCAGTTTGCTGTCATTTCTAACATCTGACCTGTAGAGGAAGGGAAGCAAGTCTCCAAAAGACAGCAGCGAGAGCCAGGGTGGCTACGTGGCAGGCCGTGAGGTCAGCCCCTCTTGGCGTAAATCTTAGCTTCGCCATCTCCTAGCCGGGTAGCCTGAGCAAATAAGCAGTCCTTTGCCAATGTGCTGTCAGGAGTGTCAGGTGAATGGCATGTGTTAAAGGACATAACAATTCGCAGTGCTACTGGGGACTCTATAGGAGCTGCCTTGGAGAGGTAACTAAGGCCCTTACTGCTCATGGCTCTGCCGAGCCGGGTGGCCCTAGTGTCTGGGAATCTAGGACAGATGTCTTCTCATGGAATATTGCAGAAGGAACTGAACAGTGCACATTGTTCGCATGTGTATGTAAATAGGAGCTGCATTTTGGAGCTGGCATGCCATAATGACTGAGCAGTGTTTTGAGGAGACTGTTTGGGTCCATTCTTAATTCTCACATCCACTGAAGCATTCATGAAGCCCCAGCTCCAGCACTGCTCTTTAAGAAGCTTCCTCCCGGTTTCCAGCACCAACATGGCTTATCCCTGCTGGTGTCCACCAGGTGGTATTTGGGACCTGTTGGGTGTGCACAATACCACGAGCCAGGCTGGCCAGAGGAGCAGAGGGCAGCCCTGGGAGAGCTACTCAGGAGCTGGCCTGCGACTGGAGATCATGTGGCTTATTCTGTGATTTCCCACTGCAATGTTCATAGCTTCTGGAAAAAAAGAAATAATCTAAAAGTCAGACCCCATTTTTTTCTGACGGAATGTTTGTTCTGGAGTATATAAAAAGATGCAAACAACCCAAAACAAAGTAATCCAACATTTAAATTTTAGTTAAAATGCTGTTGTTTCCTACTTAAATGTCTTTTGAAAAATTTTAAAATAAAGGAAGTAGACTCAATTAGAAATATGTTTCAAATCAACAGAGGTTTTTGTTACTCTGAATTCTAAATCAAAAGTAAAGCAGAAAGGTTGCTGGTTGCTAAGGAAACAATAAGTGGATTTCAATTGGCTCAAGAACCAGCTAAGAAGGATAAATCCTAAGTGAGGGCCAAGAATGAGACATGAACAACCCCTTCTGAGAATAAATTGCTTCCTTCCATTTCCTCTTCTCTCCTTTTCCTTCTGTTCCCTCCCCTCCATCTTTTCTCTCCATTCCTTTCTCAGCCATGTGCATTATAAGATACAAGAATGACTGAAATGTAGAAGCTGCCCCCATTTATTTTTACCAACTAATAGAGAACCCTAGAAAGAGAGAGGGGTGGCTCGCATGCACCAGCTCACAATAGCGTTTTGTTAGAAAAAGGAAGTAAAGCAGCAAAGCAGAAGTAACATAGCAGAGGATGTGCAAGGTGTAGTAGTATTTAACTCAGCAAGGGCAATCATTCTTTTTAATCCCTATTATTGAGATTTGTAGGATCTCACAATTGGAAGGAAACTTCGAGTATTTCATTCAGTTCCATGTCCTGTACATGACTGTCATTCAGTACTTGAACCCCAGCCTACCAGGTGGTGGAGCATGGCACCAGCTCCCCGATGGGGGGAGGCTGAAAAGAGGACTGAAGGAGGATAGTGTAGAGGTAGCTGTGCGACAGCGGAGGCGGAAGGGCTGCCCTCCTGGGCCAAGACCCTCAGGCTTTCATCCTCTGGCTCTACTCCCGATTCACAACTTTCAGTGCAAGGAATGGACCTTGTTCCTGAGAGCCTAAAATGCAGGAGAACATCGAGCACCTCCCTCCTGGGCAGAGGAGAGGGTAGCACCTGCTGTGCTTTGCGTGCTCTGAGCCCAGCACAGAGGTGGGTGGCGGGGCCGCGGCTCTCCCCGTGCACACTTGCTCCTGGATACTCTGTATTTCTGTTTCTCTGCTAGTTTTTGAGATTTTCTCCTTTACTTTAGTTTGACTTTAATGTGCCTGAGTGTTTCTTGTTTTTTAAAATCCTGATTGGAGTTACAATGTAACACTTGAGTCTATGGTTTTTTTCCTTTAGTTTAGGAAAACTTTTAGTCACCTATACATACGTGTGGTTTTTTCCTGCTTGATCTCTTTCCTTTTCCTTTTAGGAAAGATATGTTAGGTATTGTTTGACATTGTACTGTGGATCTCGGGTTCTTTTTTACATTATTATCATTCTTTCTTTTCTCATTAAGTTTGGGTCATTTTTATTGACCTGATTTCAAGACTGTTGATTCCTTCTTCTGGTATGTCCAATCTTCTAATAAGCTCTTTAAATTAATTCTCCCTCTATGATATTGTGATTTTGATTTCTAGCATTTCTATTGGATTTTTTGAAAAATAGTTTCCTCCTCACTTATGACTTTCTCCATCTGTTCATAGTAATTGTCCACTTTTTCCACTAGATTCTTTAACATATTTTTTATAGCTACTTAAAATCTCTGTTGGATAATCCCAACATCTGAGCTGTGTCTGAGGTAGGTTCTATAATGGCTATTTTTTTTATACTATGTCATTTTTTTTCCTTTTTCATGTGTCTTGTAATTTTTAATTTATACTGGACATTGTTTGTAAAAAAAAAAAAATTAACAACATATGAATAATACTTGTGCCCAGAAAAGACTTCCTCTGACAATCTATTAGAATGGTAATCTGAGTCAATATAGTCCACAGTTATGGGCTTTCTTTTTGCTTAGTTACATTCATTGCTTCAAAATGCAGCCCTTTTCAAGAGCTAATTTTAATCCATAAACAAAAGATTCACAGGCCCCTCGGGTGTTATTTTTAACATTTTTTAGTGACAGTGTTACTAAACCTTGTTTTCAGTGACAATGTTTCTTTAAGTAGCCTTTACCTCACCCGTTTACTCATTCAATAGACAATTGGAACAAAAATTGATGTGTTTGATTTGTGTCTTCGCCAGTCTCTGCTCCACTTCTTGTAAATGGGGATAGTAGGAAGTGAGCACAAGGCTGTGAGCTCACTCAGAATACTCAGAATACTTTAAAGATCAAGTACCCACAAGGTTGCAACTGCCTGCATATATTCAGAGAAATCCAATGTCCTGGGTCCCAAATCCAAAGATCCTGATTCAGTAGCCCTGGCTTGGGTCCAAGAATCTGATTTTAAGAGTGTCCCAGAGCACAGCCCTACCCCTGTTGTCCAAGGAGCAGCTGCAGCTGGTGATGCAGGGAGACTTGGCCCGCCACTTCGGGGAGCACATGGTCACGGCTAAGCTCTCAAATCAGTCGAAGTTTGTCCCAGAGATGGCGAGTACGTGGGCACCTTCCTGGAGGGATGCCAGGATGACCCTGAGCGGCAGCTGCTTGTGCTAGTGGCCTTCTCATCCATCACCAACCAAGGACTCCCCATCATGCCTACCTTCGGGTGTGTCACACGGTTCCTGAGTCCCCAGGCCCTGCAGGACTATGTGGCCTGGCTGCAGGGCATGTTTCTCCAGCCCAGCCTGGACTCCTTGGTTGACTTCAGCACCGTGAAACAGAAGAGAGTCCAGGATGCTTCATTCAATACGCCTGAGCAAGATACATTCCGGCTACGGAAGTGGATTGTCCACCGCCTGGTCAGCCTTTTGGACACCTTGCACCTAGAGAAAGAGGAGGCCTTGGTCGAGCAGGTGGCCAGGTTTTGTTTGTTCCACTCATTCTCTAAGACAAAGAAGCCCACAAGCCAGATCCCAGAGACCAAGCAGCAGTTCTCCTTCCCTGTGGACAGCAGGACACGAGAGTTCTTCACCAGTGCCTTTTTCAGCCTGCTGCAGATCCTCAGCACGAAGTTCAAGCATATACTGGACCAAGCCCAGGGTGGGCAGCCCTGGATCTACCGCCTGGTGCAGTTAGCAGACATACTGTTGAATCACAGCCGCAACGTGGCCATCGTCACACCTTTCAAGATGCAGCAGAGCCAGGGCTGGGACCAGAGGCTAGAAACTCTGAAGGAACTGGAGGCCCGCTCCTCAGAGGCCAAGACCACTGCCTTCCAGCACCTGCTGCTCCTGGTGGGCATCCACCTCTTCAAGTCCCCCACAGAGAGCTGTGACCTCCTAGGGGACATCCAGACCTGCATCAAGAAGAGCATGGGGGAGAAGACCTGCCGTTCCTGCTCCAAGGCCATCAGCTCCCAGGAGCCACCATGGGTGGAAGTGATAGTAGAGATCCTGCTGTCCCTGCTGTCCCAGCCCAGCAACTTGATGAGCCAGGTGGCCCGGAGCATGTTTGGCCACATCTGCTCCCACCTGACCCCACGTGCCCTACAGCTTATCCTGAATGTGCTGAACACTGAGGAAAACCAGGATGAAGATGATGCCATGGTGGTCACTGATGACTCTGATGAGAAGCAGCTGAAGGATGCAGAGGATGACGGCTCAGACAGCGAAGACGAAAACTCAGAGAGTGAAGTGGATAGCGAGGGAGAGGAGAGTGAGGAGGAGGAACGAGATGAGCACGTGGACCCAGGCTTCCGCCAGCAGCTCATGGAAGTGCTGCAGGCTGGGAAGGCACTGGCCCGGCGTGACGAGAAGAATAAGCTACAGAAGGAGAAGGCGCTCCAGTGGGACTTCCAGATCCAGGTGCTGGACCTGATCGAGGTGCTGGTGACCAGGCAGCCTGAGAACCCTCTGATTCTGGAGCTGCTTGAGCCGCTGCTGAACATCATCAGGAGCAGCATGCGCAGCAGCAGCAGCAAACAGGAGCAGGACCTTCTGCACAAGACGGCCCGTATCTTCATGCAGCACTTGTGCCGTGCCCGACACTACTGTCACAACGTGGGCCACTGCGCAGCGGCACTGCACACCCAGGTGGAGTGACTGGTGCGGCAGGCCGGCCAGCAGGCTGACTCCTCTGTCGCCCTCTATTACTTTAATGCCTCGCTCTACCTGCTGTGCGTCTTAAAGGGCAATGCCACCAAGAAGCACATGCTGGAGAGCCAACAGTGGCAGGGAGCCGGCCCCAACTGTGGCCCTGAGGACACAAGCCCTCGGACTGCCAGCTGCCTGGACTTGGACCTCGTGACTCCGGTGTACTTGGCAGTGCTGAGCTCCTTCCTGACCAAGCGCAACAGCCCCTTCACTGTCCCCATGTTCCTCAGCCTCTTCTCCCAGTACCCGGTGACCTGTAAGAATCTGCTCCCCGTCCTGGTCCAGCACATGGCTGGCTCAACACGGGCCCGCCAGCAGGCCGAGGCCTGCCTGCTGCTCCAGAAGACCCTGTCTGCACGGGAGCTGAGGGTATGTTTTGAGGACTCTGAGTGGGAGCAGCTGATTGGCCAGGTCCTGGCGAAGGTCACTGAGAACCTGTGCACACTGAGGGAGGCACAGAGCCGGTCAGAGCACCAGAAGCAGCTGTCCTCCTTGGAGTTGCTCAACACTCTGTTCAAGATGCTCCATCATGAGAAGTTGACTGTGGACCTGACCACTCTCCTGGATGTGCTGCAGGGCCAGCAGCAGAGCCTGCAGCAGAGCCTACAACAGGGGGGAGCACTCAGCTGGCTCCAGTCGCCTCTACGACCTATACTGGCAGGCCATGAAGATGCTCGGAGTCCGGCGCCCCAAGGTAGAGAAGAAGGACACCAAAGCAGTCCCCAGTGCCTCTGAGAGCCCCATTAACATGAAGCAGAAGAAAAAGAGGTTCTTGCCAGAGACCAAAAAGCGTAAGAAACGCAAGTTGGAGGAGGCCACACCAGAAGAGGGGGCCACGCCAAAGGGAGCCACTCCTCTAGCCACTGGTGGCAACCAGCCACCCGGCACAGGCAAGAAGAAGAGAAAAAGGATGAAGGCCAAGGTCCTAGCCCAGCCCCAAGGGGATGGGACCCCTGCTGCCAAGAGCCCAGGCCCTGACACCCTCACCTTGAGCCCCAGCATCCCTGCCAAGACTCCAAAGCTCCAGAAGAAAAGCAGAAAGCTGTCGCAGGTGAATGGGAACACCCCAGTGTCCCCCACAGAGCCTTCAGGCAAAAAGTGACATCTGAAATCTCTTTCCAAAAAGGGAATCTCAGGCAAGTCCCCACAGTCTGCCCTGTCACGGAAGAGGGCAAGGCTGTTTTTGGTCAGGAGCCCCAGCCTGTTCCAGAGTGGGGGCAAGAAAAAGAAGTTGCTGAGGAAGAAGCTAAAAACACCCTGAGTGCTGGTGCCCACCCCCCGCCCCCACCCGCCCTGGTCCCAGTCCCAGTCCTAGTCCCAGTCCAGCAGCCCTTGACAGTCCTGTTTTTTCACCACAATTTTAATAAACAAGCCTAAGGCAGCAGCTTCTGGTTCCGAGGCATGGGTCTGTTGCCAAGCTGGGCCCCAGCACAGGTGTCACCACCCCTTGGATGTGCCCCACCCCTCCCTAAACTCACTGCAGGAACCACCAGGACATGATTTAAATAGGTTTATTTCTTCATTTACAAAAGGAATATATTTGGCTTCTCTCTTAAGATTCTGAGATTCACAATCAGCAGCTCTAAAAAATAAAGGAGCAGTTTGGCTTCCGGAAGGAAGAGGAGGCAAAAAAAAAAAAGAGTGTCCCAGCGGATTCTGAGACACAGAACCACTGAACCCAACTCCTTGATCTAGAAATAAGACCATAAAAGGATACTGATCCCTACAGGGTCACACAGCTTGGAAGGCAGCAAAGCCAGGGCTCAAACCACATGACAACGATCACAGGTGACAAGTCTTTCTTTGTGACTGGCGCTGTCCTTGCACTTAGTGTGTATTCCCCCTAACAACCCTACTCGAGGCCACAGAAGCTGCAGTGGCATTTCAGTTTCAAAGGGAAGAAACAGGCTTCGAGAGGCCTTATTTTTGTCTGAGGTGACACAGCAAAACAGCGGAAGAGCTCAGATTTGAGCTCCAAAGTGCGTGCCTTAACCAGCACGCACGCTGACTTGCAGGGTTTTGCCTGACACTGGCATTGAACTTCAGTTTGAGACAGCCCAGGGAGGGAGAGCAGGTGTGTGGCTCAACCCAAGGCAATGTGCTTTCATTCCTGGGTTTTACCTGGGGAGAGGACGGTGGCTACTCCAGATTTGGGGCGGGCTCCTGTGGCTCACGGAGTGGCGCCCTTCCCACATGTGGGTTCCAGCTGGGAGCTTGGCACCAGCCCTGGGAGACTGAATGGAGATTGACTGGCTTCTTATTCTCAGCCTGGAATTTCACAAGCACTCACCCTCCGGGTGATGATTACTTTTTCTGCCTTCTTTTCTCTCAGAAAGGTCTCTGTGTACCATAGAAAAGAATGTGAGTCAAAGAAGTTCTTCCATCTCCCTCCCCACACACCCACCCACTCTCCTCCACACACACAGGGACATGAGTTCCCCAAGGGACCATTTGTTTGATGAACACTTTAAAAGAAGACTTAATTTAGTAAGATTTTAGAGAAAAGCATGTCTCCCGCAAAGCATTTCTGAGCAGATGAATGAAGAGTTTCTGGGTGGGTTAAAGGCAGGCAATTCATCAGTGATAGCAATTACTGCCACCATGGAAGGGTGATCTTGGCCTCCTGCACCCCAGTCTCCCTCCTTCCCAACAGCCCAAACAGCACAGCTGGGATGCTTTGTGCCCCACGTGAAGGCTCTTTCTTACATGATGGGTGGTCAGTGTGCATGTTCCAGCGTGAGCCTGGCCCAGACCCTCCTGCACCCGCCCTGGTCAGAGGTGTTGGTTTGCAGGGGACCTGACCAGCAAGCAGTCGCTGTGATCTGAACTCTAGTCTGCTTCATTTTGAGAGTGCACGCTTCTCTTGGCTGCATTTCGTCTTCATCAGAGGAGAAGGGAGAGAGAGATGGGTCTTTTGGGGAGGAGACCAGAGGGAGTGAAGGCATAGGAATAGGGAAGTAGATGGCAAATAACAAAGTTCACAGGAGACTGCTAACTTGGAGGGGGAACAGGAACGTGGATACCAGAAAGAATAAGGTAATTTGGGTTCTGACCTTAACCCTGCTGCAGCCCAGCGGTGTGAACCTGGAGAAGTTTTTCAGCCTCTTGGAGCTATGGTGTATCTAATCATAAGGTGGGATCTGCCTTTTTTAAGAAAGAAAGATGAGAAAATGTGAATGAGCAGTGGACACCTTGCAAGGCTCCCGTGCAGGTGAGCAATTCTAGGCTGTTTGGGTGAGAGAACACAGCTGCTCTTGCCTCAGCCTGCAGCGTGCCAGCACTCAGGAGGAGAGCTTTGGGGTCCTGCGCCTCCTTGATGTCTCACTCTGCCCCACAGGGTGGGAGAATGTCTATGGCTTTGACATGACCTGTATCCGGGACGTGGCCATGAAGGAGCCCCTGGTGGACATTGTGGATCCCAAGCAAGTGGTGACAAACGCCTGCTTAATAAAGGTCTGTGGACTCAGGCTGGTGGGGCTGGGCATGCCAGGAACAGCTGTGCCACTCTGGAGAGCCAGGCTGGGGTGGGTCTGCCTGCATGGCCCCAGCCTCACGAGACAAGACCACCCTGGCCAGAGCCTGCACTCCAGGGGTGACAGGTCAAAAGCTGACATGGAGAAGGACTCCGTGGTGGCACAGCTGAGGGCAGGGCCCCTGCTGGGGGAAGGGGGGTCATAGGACAGCACCTGGGAGGCAGGACGTCCTTCTTGGGATGGGGCCCTTACCTCCCTGTGCTGCAGTCGTGGTGGTCGGCCACCTCCAGGCACACACCTGACCCCCCACGGAGCCCCCAGCCCACTCCTGGGCCTTGCTGCTGCCCACATCTCCTCCAGGATGTTCTTCAAGCTCCTGTGTGCTGGTTGGCACCCTCACACTCCAATCCTTAGTGCACTCATATCGTCACACATGCAGATGTGCGCAGGTACGGCGTGAAGGTCAGGGGTCCCCTTGGCCCCTCTTTCCCAGCCCCATCTCCTACCAGGTGGATCTGCTGCTCACAGGGACTCTTTCCACACTTGTCCTGTGTATTGGCATTTTTGTGTGCTCACATGTGGAGCCATCTAAAACTACTGGTATCTGCCCTTTTTAAATATAGAAAGTGATCCATTTCGTATGGCTGAAGTTAATTTTTTAATCTAGACATATGGGCTCATTATGCAAGTACGCTCAGCTGCCTGATTTTCGTCTCTCGTCTCTCCTGCTCTGGTCCTGTTCATGAGTTCTGGAAGTGTTGGGAGAGGGACTGGACCACATACAGTGAGACCAGGGGACCACTGCAGGGCCACTGCAATGCAGGAAGTCTCGGGCCACACCGCCCCTTGTCCCCATGTGATGTGCCATTTTCCCTGGATGCAGCCTCCGCAGGAGAAGGGTGGCCTTGCTGCAGACTGCCCTGGGGAACCTGGGGAGAAGCTCGGGGGCAAATAAAACTAGATGTCCCACACGGGTGGCATCGGATGCTCCCTTGTGGTGTCCCGGCTAAGGGCTTGGCTTGGGCTCTGAGCCTGGCCTCTGGATCCATGGGCGCTCACTACTCATCTCCTCCACCCAGTCCCTGTGCAGGCAGGATGTGAGCAATCATGCCGTTGATTTTGCCAGAAGGAGTCTGCAAGGGCGTCAGCTTGGGAATTAAATCCCCTCGGCTTACTTGGGCCCAGGTGGCTCTGTGCACTGGGCCCAGCCCCACACGTGAGCGGCCACAGTGCTGCTGGCTGTTTGGACTGGTTCTTTCCCGAGCTGCACCGTGTCTCCGCTGCTTCCTCCCAGTCAGGCACAGCGAGGGTGAGGCAAAGCGCCAGCCCATCACCGGGGGCGGGAGGGTGCACACCGCTCGGTCTTTGGAAGACTCCATAGGGCTCCGACTGACGGGAGGCCCTGGGACAACATCCCACCCTCCACTCAGCCTTCCTTCCCCTGGGCATTTTCTGAGGAGGATGAACGAGTCTCAGTTTGCTCCGTAATCAGAAGAGTCCTCCGTCAGCTCTCCTGCTGATGTGCCAAGCAACGTCTCGCCTTTGGGGAAAACATTTGCCCTTCTTCGAACACTTAATTGCTGTTTTCATTGCTATTAGCGTGTGGAGTGTGACACTTTATTATAGTTAAGGCTGTGTTTTGACCAGGCTTCTGCTTGTGGGCATCCGTCTGTAATGCTGGTCAGAGGTGGATAGCAGTGCAGGGGCCTCTGCTTCCTGGGGTCACCTGAGGCCGAGACAGTGGGGCCTCTGGTCTCAGGCTGCTCTGTGGACTCGGGCGGGCGAGGCAGGGTGAGGGCACTGAGCCTGAGGGCCTTTGTCTCCCCAGAGCTCAGGCACCTCCATCCCCGCCCTCACAGATGGCCCAGCCGGGCCCCACTCCCAAAGGCCAGCTGCCTCTATTGTTGCCGTCTTAGTCTTAGTGTGTCGCTGGTATTGCTGTGTAGCTTTTACTCTGCCTAGAGAGCTCCAGTTAAGATGCAGGTGTCTCTGGGACCCCCGTCCTTCATGCACACCAGACGTGACAGCTGGTTGGTGACGTCTGTGAGCAAGACTGTGGGAAAGGTTTCTGTGTGACGGGTGTGAGTGTGAGCACACTCATGCAGAGCACAATGAAGAGATGAGAGGAGTGAGTGGGAGAGGAGCCCATGTGCGTGGAAAGCCCGGGGGCCTCTGCAGGGACACGTGAACGACCCCTCGAGAGTTTGGTTAGGGGCAGTAATGAAGGAGAGGCCTGGAGAAGGAAGGAGACCCCATTCCTGGTAGGTGGATGTGTCCAGGCCACGCGCTGTGTGCGGGCCCCACATTGAGGGCACACAGGCCGGTGAGGTGCAGCTTCTGGCCCCACAGGGCTCTGCCCTAGTGCCAGGATGAGGATGGAGATGGTGAGGGAGGCCTGGTCCAGAAGCCAGGCTGGGCAGGGGTGGACACAGCCAGCCGAGCACTGCGTCAGTGCATCAGCAAAGATGCGGGTCAGCAAGACTCGCTCAGAAGGTCTGGACTGGAGGGGACTCATGGACAGAGTGTGGCTGGGACTCACTCTGAGGCCCTTCCTGACGAGCTGGGCTCTCTGTACTGCAGAAGAGGTTCAGGTGCTCCCATGGGTGGGACGAGGTGCCTGGCTTGCCTGTGGGTGGAAGTTGCAGAGACAGGTGCGGACTCTGGTCACTGGTTCTGAAGAAGGGGTGATGTTGGAGACACCCCGACACTGTGTGAGCTGCCTGGTAAGGTGAGGGGTGGCATCTCTCTGGGAGGGACTCACCGGAAACGCCGCCATGGGGTTCCTCAGGTGGCTAAGAGGCTGGGCTGGAAGGGATGTGCTTTGTAACCCCATCTACTTTGGGCCACCAGCCCAGGCCTCTTCACCCCTCCGGTGGTTCTTGCTCCTGTCTCTGGGCTCTAGAAACTCAGAGTAACTTACACTGGAAAGTAACTTCCCAGGGCTCTCTCATGCCCCAGCCCTGCAGCCACCCTCTTCCCAGCCGGGATCAGAGCTCTGGCTCTCCCAGGGCCCACTCAGCCCCGGCCCCAGCAGGCTCCTCTCCCTCCTCTGGCCACCTCTTTACCCACCCTAGGCTACTTGCATCTCCTTTCCTTTATTTACCCTAGGAGTACAGAGAGATAAAAGCCATTTACACAGTGCTGCTTTGCTGATCTTGTCTCCAGGTCTCAGGGGACCTCCTGGCTGCAGTCTGCTGCTTGCAGCATCCCAGGACAGTTGTCTATCACTTTCTCGAGTGAGACACAGAACCCAACACCCACAAGTTGAAGGAGGAGGGTTCATTTTGGCTCACAGCTTGCAGAGATTTCAATCCAAGGCAGTTGGCATGGCAGAGGGGCATGGCAGAGGGAAGACAGCTCAGGGTAGGGCAGAGGGAAGAAGAGAGATAAGGGGAGAGCTGGAGGGAGAGACACCCTTCCAGGGCACGCCCCAGTAATCCCCTTTTCTGCAGACCCCACCTTCTAACTGCAGTCAGCTCTGAGCCCTTCAATCCCATCCGATCCAGAACCTTCCCTAAGCCCCGCCCATGGGGTGGGCTCTCCCTGTCTCCGGGCTGCCACAAGGAGCAGCCAGGAGGGGCACAGCAGCCCTCTCTAACACTTGCTCCCCACGCAAAATTGATGTTCTGCCACATTCCTGCTGAAAATGTGAGAGTTATTAGTTCTTTGTGTTCTGTATTCCCCAGTCAGGACTGAAAACTCTCACCTCTTACTCTTCTCCTTGGATTTATTTTTCAAACCTGTGCAGCAGACTCCTTACAAGGGTTTGGCAGAGCTCCCTTCAGCTGGGTCTGTGACTGTGAGCTCAGGTTCCTGACTCCTGGGAATAACGCCTGCTGCCTGCTACTGTGGGGAACTTCACACACATGCGCGCATACACACATGTGCACGCACACTCACACACACACATGCACATGCATGAGTCATCTGTTCATGGAGCCCTGGGAAGACCTGAAACCACCCAGAGCTCTGTTGGAGTCACGAGGTCTGGGTTGCCCTCCTTGCTCCTCAGAATTTCCCCAGGAGAGTTGATGCTGACATTTAGGACCCCCTTGGAGAGGGGTGGGATGGAGGTTGCTCTGAGTAGGCTGAGGGACGAAGTGTCCGATCAACCCTTCTCCCCACCCCAGCTGCCCCCCAGCAGATTCCCTGCCCGATTCTGCCTCTCAGGCTCTGGTTAAAGCCCATTTGCACTGTTTCCCAACTGTCCACCACCCTGGAGTGGATGCAAGAGGTAATGTGGAGGTGGCGGGTAGACCTGGATGCCACTCTGAGAACAATGCCCTGGAGAAGGGCTCTGGGAGGGGCCTTGGGGTGAGGCTGCCCTGGGCCCTGTGTGGGGGGAGCCGTGCGTCTCTGGCATTCTCTCTCCTCTGGCTGCAGGAGGTGGACATCTACACCGTGAAGACTGAAGAGCTGTCGTTCACCTCTGCATTCTGCCTGCAGATACAGCGCAATGACTACGTCCACGCCCTTGTCACCTACTTTAATATTGAATTTACCAAGTGCCACAAGAAAATGGGGTTTTCTACAGGTGAGCTGCTCGCCCGCACTTCGCCGAGGCTCTGTGGCTCTGAATGGTGACCCGGGCTGGCTTTGGGGGTGCTGCAGGGGTCACCAGGGCCAGACACACCAGCCCACAGCTTTCCTCAGCTGTCGGCCCTGCTGGAGAGTGGGAATGTGGGGGGGGGGGCAAGGAGCAGCGGGAGGGAGGCTCTTCAGGTGCAGGTGGGTCCTGCGCATTTACTGAGCAGCTCTGTGAGGGCTGAGGCCCGGAGCTCTGAGACACCTGTGTCCCTCCAGCTCGCCTTGTGAGGATGCTGCCTACAAATAGGACCCGGGGCTTCTCCTTCCCCTCGTTCCCCTCCAGCCTTCCTCTGTTCAGTCCCTGCTGCATTCCCCAAAGATCCTCCCTACTGTGGTCCTTCCTTTTCTGTCGCTATAACAGAGTACTGGAGACTGGGAAGTTTATAAAGCAGGGAAGCGTACTTGGCCTCAGGTGCTGGAGCTACAGTGCTGGCATCTGGTCAGGCCTCAGACGTCATGGCAGAGGCCTCCTTGGGGTGAGGCAGCCAGCATGGTGGGCAGGGTTTGCGCACATGACAAGCCACCATGCTACCCATGAACCCACCGGTCCACCATGTGGGCAAAGTCCTCCAGGCCCAGTCATCTCAGAGACCCCGCTGGGGACCACGTTTCTAGCCCACGGACTTCTGGGGACGCTCACCCTGCAGAGGAGCCAAGGCCTGGTCCTCCGGCTTCCCAGCTGAGAGCCGAGCCCTGTGCCATTGCCACTGCACCCTGCCCAGCACAGCCGCTCTGAGCTCCCCGAAGCCCCAAGCTCTGGGATCTCCCTCCTCATGGCATGGGAGCGGGGGTCCTGCATCGGGACTTGTCTTCACCTCTCCTCCTGGGCTCACTGTCCGGGGCCACCAAAGTGAAGCACTGCACACAGGGACGTGGCCGCAGCTCCAGAGGCTGGAGTCCCAGACCAAGGTGTGGCAGGCTTGTTTCTCCGGGGGTGCAGATGGCTGTGTTCTCCCTGTGTCCTCCACAGTTGTTCTCACTATGTAGCCCAGACTGGCCTCAAACTCATGGTAGTCCTCCTGCCTCAGCCTCCCTACTGCTGGTATTACAGGTGTGTGCGGCCATGTCAGACCCTTGCTTTTTTTAAAAAATGTTTCCTCACAAGTATGCATGTGCTTTAAAAGCTACTGTTTGGCCCCAGTTGTTTTTGAACTTTATTCAAAGCACAGAGTATTGTATGCGCCTCTTCCCTGACCCCTCCACTGCTTCCTTCGCAGCCCAGGGCAGCCGGCGTGGGGGGCCAGGGAAAAGCAGTCTGGAAATGGTTCTTTCAATGGCTCTGACACCCCTGCAGCTCCAGGCAGACGCTGTCACCAAGGGCCACAGGCACCCAGGGTTCCGGCAGCGCCAGCCACGGGCACCACTGTCTTGGACATCTGGGTCGGGGGGGGGTGGGTACAGAGGGACCTGGGAATGCTGGGCTGTTGCTGAAGCAGCGAGGCTGCCAGGTGGAAGGCAGAAGCCCGGGAGTAGCAGGCCTGTGTTCGAGTCCAGCCTTTGCAGTAGTCAGAAGGTTAAGCCATTTGTGTTCTGAGTCTGGGGCCCAGCACCCTTTTTCCACCCTTGCCCTCCTGGGACTCTGAGTCGTTTTCCCAGGTCAACGTTTGTATTTTGGGGATTTTTAGGCAGGGTCTCACAGTGTGGTTCAGGCTGGCCTTTTACTCACTATGTGCCCAAGCTGCCTTCAAATTCTTGGCAATCTTCCTGCCTTAGCCTCCCACAGTGCTGAGATCACAGGTGTGTGCCACCACAACCAGCTTCAAAGATGTTTCTTGGTGAGTCTTTAATTCTTCAAAAGGCTTGCAGCTTGTCTAGCAAACATAATTTCAAATTATGGCTTCAAAAAGTTATTATATCCCAGCCACTTAGTCATTGGGAAGTGAAACAGGAAGCAAGATTCCATTTCCAAAAGCGCCAGGAAAATCTTGGAAGCGGCTCCTGCCATGTGTTCCCACCCCTATCCTTGACCGAGAGCCCCCATCCCATAATATCACCGTTTCCCTGACTCTTCTTGGGCTGCAAGAGCTGCAGGGGGAGGATGGACACAGAACTGTGCTCATCTGGTTGCTGTTCCCAGATTTGGAGCCGCAGCTGGCAGGCGCTCAGCATCCCCAGCAGAAGCCAAGGTGAGGGAATTTGCATCTGCACCTGGGTGCCGTGGCCAGCACTGCTCACATGCACTTCTGAGTATGGAGTGGAAGTTTTCTAAGATCTAGAACCCAGAGCCTGATGGGGACGGCGTGAGGGAGGAAGACAAGGGGAGGCCGCCGGTAGGGCCAGAGTGTGACAAGGAGGAAGCCGTCTTCGCGGTAGGGAAAGCTTTAAAGCAGCTGTAGATCCCTGAAGCCACAGACTGAGCAGGGGCATGAGGGGAGACTTGGGAGGAGAGCTGGATGTGGTCCACAGTCCTGCGCCAGCTGCTCACCCTGGGTACCAACGCTCTAAACAACCAGAAGGCAGCTTACCTTTGCGGGCCGAGGCACAGTGTGTGGGTTAGTAAAATTGTATAACACTGTGAAGAATAATGAACTAACTACTAGATGCAGGGCTTACAGCACCCTAACATGGGCCTCCTGTTGCAGGTACAGGGACTGCATAATTTAACCTGACAATTAAGGACACTTTACAAGTAAAAGGGAGAACAGAAGTAAACTAGAACTGCCCCAGGCACAACCAGGAGTTTGTTCACCCTCAGGATGTGTTCCCCTCCCCTCCCATCTCATGCTTAGTACCTTAGGGCCTAAATGTCACCACCTGTATTCTGCAGCTGCAGAGCCGGAACCCAGGGCCACAGTGCAAGTCTGTGGCAGGGCAGACTGGAAGCCGAGCCCAGTGCTGCCTAACAGGGTCTTTCTCCTGCCCCACCCGTAGAAGAAGGGCTCCAGCCAGCACTGTGTGCCTCCCTGCCTGCCTGTGCAAGGGCCCAGGTCTTGCACATCTGTCTGCTTTCCAGAATTACTGCGTTCCAGTTACTCCGAGTGCAGTCAGCAGTCCAGATTCCAGTAAGGACTAGCAGGGAAGACTGAGACACTGGCTTCAACAATCAGTCCAAGGTCAATGGATCCACAACAGACATGGGATGTTTGGGAGTTCTGCACCTTTGGTGTTGATGTTAAGGAAACACACATGACTTTTCTCCAGGCTGGAGCTGGCAGGATTGGGGGCCACCGTTGGAGAGAGACTCCTGGGGTTGCTGGCCAGCAGGTCTGAGCTGGGTGACAGAGGAGGCTACTCGGGTCCCCTTGCCTGAAGGTCTTTGGGAAGGGATAGACGCCTGTCTGAGCCAGTGTAGGTGGAAAGGGGCACGAGTGCTGTCAGCCACACACTGACATTCACCACACACAACCAGAATCCGTCTTTCTACAACTTATTTAGAGGTAGCTGGCCTGAAGCACATGGGAGCAGGTGGACTTTGCCTACAGGCAGCAGTACACCTTGGACGCCAGGGAGGCACAGCCTGCACGTCTGCGGCCCTCTTTTCCATCCAGTGTACAGGCTGTGCACTGTCCCCATGACCTTGAGTGTGCATTGATTCCCAAGGCACACACTGAAGGCTGCCAAGTCAGTCTGTACCACAGACACTGACCAAGCCAGTCCACTGAAAGTGCAAACAAAGGCAGATTCTTCACCCTAGTTAATACAGACCTTGGGGCTCTGGACAATCCCAGAGGTCACCTGGCAGACTCTGTGCACGACACCTGCACTCTCTTGGAATGGACCTCCATAGCCCATATGACTATGATACAGCTCCAGTTCTTCCTGGTGAGTTGAAAATTGCCTCTAGTAATTCCCAGTGACCAGGCCTTGTTCTACCCCCTAAGCCACATAGAAGCCTTTCTGTTGATGGATTTGAAAGGTCCTTATCATGTCATGTCAGTGTCGCATCATCTCTAGCACTGGTGCTAAGCAAAAAGAAGCTCTGGTTGGGGTGGGTAAGAATCTGGACCCGGAGGAGCTAACTGTAAAGTGGATTCTGCTGCAATCCAGAATCCAAAAGGCCAATGTGATGCAACTGGTATGGGGACAGTGAGGCATCACAAGGCGTCTGCTCTTTGGGTTCTTGCCATCACCCACGTATCCTCTGCTTACAGACTGAATGCTGTAGCAGGCGTGAGGACACGTAGCCCTGCCCTCCTGTATTCTTGTGGAGGATGCAGACAATCCGGGCAGAATGCGTTTGTACTGCAGGTGCTAACCATCATAGTGACTCAAGCTCTGGTGTTGCTGGAGCCCTAACCCAGGTTAAAGTAGCCAGGAAGGCTGACCTGGAGGGCTGAGGAAGAGACAAGCTAGTGAAGAGGGAGGGGAGAGTGGCCACAGAGGAAAGCGTAGCCGAAAGGCAGGACCTCTCACATATAGCTGCCACCCATGGGCTACAAGGGAAAAGCAGGGGAGGCACAAGCATCACTGTGGCCTTGGGCCCTGCAGAAGGAGTGATCTGAGCCTCACCACCTTCCCTAGTCCAGTCAGGCGGGCACTGCTGCAGGCCCACAGCAGGCTTGGCCAGGGTGCAGGGCTCTGTTGCAGGACACAGCAATAGGCACAGAAAGCTATTTGTAGGGTGGAAGGACAGGTATGCAGGGTGTCGGGGAACTGGAACACTGGCTTAGCTGTGGAGTCTATGTAAATGATGTCGTTTAGGGCTGGGGACCCCACTGCCCCAGGCTGGTAGCAGATCCAGGGCCTTAGGACTGGGCCACATGGCAGGAAGTGAGCAAGGGCCTGTAAGCCTGCAAGGTGTCGTCTGTATTTACGGCCTCTCGCTATCTCTGGCATCTGAGCTTCACTTCTGCAGATCAGCAACAGCAGCATTAGGTTCTCATGGGAGCGTGAGCCCTTCTGTGAACGGTGCATACAGTGGACCTAGACTGCACACTTCTTATGCAAATCCCATCTCAAAACCACCCCCTCTGCCTTGTGTCCATGCGAAAACTGTCTTCCATGAAATCCATCCCTGGTGCCGAAAAGGTTGGGGACCGCCTGTTTAGGGAGATATGATGGCCTGCTCTGTAAATCTCCCCCACACTGTCTGAAAGGCTGCTCCATTGGACTAATTAAAGCAAGAATATGAATGTGTAATATCAGCCTGTTTCTCTTCTGGTGCCTGGCTGAGATTGGCAGGCCTGAGGGATGAAGATGTATGGGGAGACAGATTGGGGCTGAGCCAGGCCTGGACCCTACAGGAGTGTGAGTGTGGGAGGCCCGGCAGGTCTGTGTGGATGCAGCCTCGGCCCCTCTGTAGACCTAGTTCTGACTCCTTTCTCCTCCCGGTGTCGCCCTTCAGCCCCGGATGCTCCCTACACCCACTGGAAGCAGACCGTCTTCTACTTAGAAGATTACCTCACTGTCCGGAGAGGGGAGGAAATCTATGGAACCATATCCATGAAGCCAAATGCCAAAAATGTGGTGAGTGGTGTAGCCAGGGTCACTGAGGGGAAAGGGCCCATGGAGCTGGTCCTCGTGCACCCCCAAAACCCTCTGGCCTGGTTCCAGGGTCAGAAATGTTCCCGGGGGGCAGTGCAGCATTGCATTTGCAGGTGGGCTCCAGCCTGGACCCTGAAGACCCAGCAGTTGGAGGCTTTCTCCAGGTCTCCCTCTGGACTCTTGACCTGGACAAGGGGGCATGGAGCATGGGTACTGTCAAGTAAATGGGTTCGGCCTCATTTGGGCTGAGCAGGCTTGGAGGTTGCAGTTTCTGGTGGCCTGGAAGAGGTTCAGGTCACATTTCTTCAGCTGACCTGGTAGATGGAGACGGGTTCTTTTCCAGCAGTGCCAGGTGTGGAACGATGCCCTAAAGTCTATGAAGTGCTTGAGGTGATGTCACAGAGGACTCAGAACCTCCCATCCTCCCTGTGTGGAATCAGAGAACATATTTATGGCAGATCAGGGAGGGTTAGGGTGAAGCAGCAGAATAGAGCCTGAGGAGTCCGCATGGTGAACCCCTAGCTGGAAACACGCCCCATGGCCGCCCTTCCGGGGCCAGGAGGAGGCCTGTGCCTGGGGAGAGGCCAGCTTCCTACCTAGACTCAGGCTCTGACCTTTCGCTCTCTTTGCAGCGAGACCTCGACTTCACAGTAGACTTGGATTTTAAGGGACAGCTTTGCGAAACATCTGTATCTAATGACTACAAAATGCGTTAGCACATGTGGGAAGCTGCAGAGAGTGAGCCAGAAAAGGAGCTCTCGCCTCGACCTGCCACGCCGTCCCCAGGATGCTGTGTGCAGGACTCCACACTTGAGAACCAGAGCTTTCAACTCTGCCTTGAAGATTGGTGACTCACCTGGCTCTCTCTCCCTCGAGGGCTCGGCCCGGAGTGGGGCTCCTGCTCCTCCACCCTGCCCCAGGAGCCCTTCACCAAGGGCTCATTGTCGCCCATAGAGAGCAACCTGTGGCTGGGGCCCCAAGGAGGGAAAAGTGCCCGTGTGTCCCCACTGTCCTCCTCAACGGTGACTCTCGGATCTTCCATGTTTTGCATGCTGCAGGCATCTAGGACAGATTGCTTCTACTAGAACAAGGAGACACAGTGTCTTTGATAGCATAAGCCAGACTGCGTGTGTGGTGGTGTGCGCGTGCGTGTGTGTGTATAAAGCCTTTGTAGTAGTTTACCCACAGTCGCCTGTATGTGCATGCATATACAGCCAAGTGGGTACATTCTGTGTTCCTTCAGAGGGGCGTGTGAGTGTGTGTGTGGGTGTGTGTGCGTAGAAAACACTTTACTCTCGGAGGAGAGTCTGTTGCTTTGGAATAGGAATTTGTTTTGTGACTAGGTCTCCCTCCAACCCTGTCCCTTAACAGATGTTATGCAGCTATGAAGCATTCTCTGTACTCTCTCTGGCCACCTTTTGAGTAGACTGTGGCTCTGAGCCCTGAGCATTAGCACCATAAACTCTGTGGGCGGTCAATAAACAAACCTGAGAACGAAGCACAGGATGTCTGTGTCCCTGAGGTTCTGGAGGGAGAGGGCTGGATCCAGGGCAGTCAAAGGCCACTGTGGGACAGAAGTCGGAGGGTGCGGGCCCTGCTGTGCTGGCCTTGCTCCCTGATGGCAAGTTCCCTGGTCAGAGCAGCTGGGAGGTCGGGCTGGCTCAAGAGCATCTTTTCTGAAGACTTCTAAGCACCCATCCTTGGGGATAGAAGAGGGTGCTGGAGCTGAGGGAGGCTCAGAGGGGCTGACAAGAATGCTCCAGGCCAGGAGACCATGGAGCCTACAGATCTGTCGGGAAGCATCCAGCTTTGGCTCACATGTGGTAGCTGAGTCCCTGCAGGATGAGAACAGTGCTGTGCAGCTAGGTTCAGTCAAGTGCACTGAGTTGGTTTGTTTTTGGGTTATCGTCGGCCTCAGACCCTCAGGCTCATTGTGCCTTCTCCTCTTGGAGAGACAGTCCAGGGCTGGGGAGGAACAGGGGCCATTTAGGGACAGTGGCTGAGGTGGCAATGGGGCTGGAAGCAAGGATGAAGAGGAGCACTCGCGTGGCTGTGCAGGGGAGGGGTCCTGGCAGTGAAAACGGAACCCTGTGATGTCCAGGGGTTGTGTCAGCTTCCCAGAGCCCTGGAGCTGGACACAGGCAGCATTAGGGTAGAGAAGGCGAGCAGTGCAAGTGGAGGCAGAGGGAGTCAGGACCTCAGCTCCAGTCCCAGTCCTTCTGAGCCCCGAATACAGAGGGTGAGCCTCTCTGTGCCTGGTGAAGAGCACAGTGAAAATGACTCAGGGCTTCTTTGTTAGAGAAACTTAAGAGGGAGCAGAGGCAAGTGTGTTAGAAAAGGCTTCCTCTAAGGGCCCCCAAAGCACACCCACCAGTGTGTTCCCACTGCAGCCCTGGAGCCCCTGTACCAGGCCGCAGCAGGAGCCTAGCTCCAGGCAGGGATTCCACCTAATGGGACAAAACTTCAGCTTTCGGGAGCCACAGAGGAGACCGTGCTGTCCTTTGGTGCTCTGGAATTTGCAGGCTGCAGGCGTCTGGGACACCACTCCACCCTCTCCCGCATCAGTCGGGAGGCGCACCCCAGGGGCTCCCCTTGCCCCAGTCTCGAGCCTTCTGGAGCTGTTTGGCTCCTGCTCGCTCCCCCAGTGCTGCTCCTGAGCTGCAGAAGTGGAACCTGGAAGTCATGAAGAAGCAGTTTCACAGCTGCCTCCCCCTCCCGAGAAGGCTCGAGGGAATTGTAATTTCCCTCTGATTTGGTAGAAAATAAGCAGGATCTGCTTTGAACATGCTCTGAATGGAAGTGGGTGTAGGAAATGAAGCCCTGGCACAACAGAGATGCCGTAGAGACCACTTCACTTCGGAATCCATTCTTTCCCCCAGCTCAGTCCCTTTTGGAGACCACAAAGCCCATCGGGCTTCCTCTCCATCAGCGCTCTGGACTGCTAGTCCCACTCGTCTCCCCACCATGCAGCTGGGGCACCTCTGTTGTGACTGTCTGGGCCCGTTTGCTCATGGGCTGCTCGGGGCATTCTGAGGTCCATCCTGCCCCTAGACCACAAGCTCCAAGAGCAGAATCTGCCAGAACCGTCTGTGGGAGCTGGGGAGAGGCAGGTCCCAACACTAGCCTGGTTCCCACACAATGGGCCCGTGAGGCTCTGCAGGAGCTCAGGCTCCGGACCCTTCTGTCTGCTCCAGGAGAGCCCATATATTCTTCACTGTCCTCTCCAGACAGACTCAGCCACACAAACCCATGGGCCCAAACAAGGGCTTTGCAGGCCCTGCCGGATCTGCAGTCTCTGTACCCTTCCTCCCCGCTCCTGCACCCAGCACCCCTGTGGGCCCCACCTGGCTCCAGACTGCAGCAGGGCCATGGAAGGCATCTGGACATTGAAGCCCATCTGCTGTGGTGCGGTGAGGCTCTGTCCGAGCAAAGCTCCTTTTGGGGCTTGGTCCTGAGGCAGCAGTGCTGAGGGTGGGCGCCAGTGGGAGGCGCTGGGCCAGGATGAAGCCTCCTACGTGGGTCCTGCTCTCAAGAAACTGCATCAGTCACTGAGAGCTGGTGCTCACAAAGCAGCCAGCGCCCGAGTTCCTCCCCTCTGCACACCCTGCCTGCCCTCTGCTCTCTGCCGTGAGCTGAAGCAGCATGCGGCCCTCACTGGCACTGTGCTCTGGACATCACAGCCTCCAGAAAATGATCCAAAAGAAACGCCTTTCCTTGCAGATGGCCCAGCCTTGAGGTCTTGCAGGAAATAGCCGAAGACGTCTCCCTGCGGAGCTCCCCTTGCTTATAATCTGGCCCGGCTGGCACTGGTGTCCTTCCCTCCTCCATCTCCTGTCCTTTGCCACCTTCTCCGGGTCCCTCAGGGTGTGGGGCCGTCTTGCTCTTGCAAACCCCTTTCCCTATGACACGGAGGGTCCCAGCTGGTCTGGGGGCTGCCTCTCTGAAGAAACATTTTTCTTGACCCCCCCTGGGGTTCTTGGATGACACTGCCCTGGATACCTTGCTCCTGAGGACAGGCCTGCCCGGGGACACCCTAGTCTGCCATGGGCCTCGGATTGTCACGTGCTGGCCCAGATGCATGGCTCCTGGCCTGTCGCTTCCAGGATCAGCCTGGCCTGTGAGAACGTGTGGTCTCCTTGCTGCCCAGCTTCAGTGGATGGACTGTATCCCAATGCCGCCATGGTCCCCACTCCAGTGGAAAGTGGGCAAAAGCTCAGACACACACATCCAGCAGCAGAGGCCGCAGGCACCACCCTGTTTGTGGAATTCACCGTAGGAGTCGCTTCAGGGCTGGGCTTGCTCTTGCCCAGACCCTGAGAAGCCCGGTCCACTCCCCCAGCCCACCTGTGAGCCATCCATAGTCCCCAGCCTCCAGCAGGAGGGGTGGAAGATGTGCTGTTGCCCCAGTTGATTCCAGTCAGCTTCCTGGACGGAACAGTGATGCACTTGAGCTCGCTGCTATTTGTGATGAGCCACAGAGCCTGGCCAGCCATGTCAGCAGAAAGACTGTGCTCAAGGAAGGCCAGGGCCATGTTTCCTGCTGGCATGCAGTCACTTCTGAGGACAAAAATGCCAAAGGACTTACAACCAGGAGCTGACTCATCAGCCTCAAAGCAGCCACAGGAGACTGAACAGAGAAGACTGCAAGTACACAGGCGCTACAAACAAGGCCCTGCTGCGCCCACTCCCAAGGCCAACCTCAGCCACTGGACGGCCCTGCCACCTGATGTGCATTGCGGAGCCAAAGGCCTGCCTGATGCCAGGCTCTGCTGCTGACCAACAGTGACTCTGGACAAAGTCACTACTCACCAACAAGTCTTCACTGAGAGGGTGGGTCGGGCAAAGGAAGTAACATAGGATGTGTGTGGGAACAGCAGCCACTGTGGCCAGAGCTGAGGGCAGAGGTGGGCTGGGCTCAGGGCTGCGGGCTGCCCTGCAGTGGCGAAGGGGAGCTTCCCAGATCCCCAAGCAGAAGTGGCTGCTTTGTGCTCCATTAGCTTCTCGAAGGCTTCAAAAGTGGCTGGAGGAGGTCTTCAAAGCCACTCCTCAGCCCTTGGCAGTGTGACCAACTGGCACCAACAGAGCCATGCCCTTCCATTCGTCAGAGCTGGAGCCCCTCGCTACAGCTCCAGCTGTCCTGCTGGACACTCGCTCGGCTGCCTCCACACCTTTCTAATCACGAGCACTTCCCGTGACCTCGGTGCAGCGCCCATGGGGTCCAGGCTGGTGCTTGGTTTCTGCCACCTGGAGAACAATGGGACAGAATCTGAAGCATTTATTTTACTTTGAAATTCAACACGTCCTGCTTTTCCTGGGGGACTTAGTCTTATTTAGATTTGGCTGATAATATATGGAATCTATATGCTCAGAGTGCTTGTTCTCTTTGTTGGCCAGCATTAGTGGCTGGGAAGCACATTCTGAGAATCAGCAAGGGGGTCAAGGGTGGGAACCAGGCCGAGAAGTGAATCTTGACAGCAGTGCCAGCCACATCAATACTTGAGAGTCATTTGGCCACATTTATAGGAAATAACCAGCCAATTCCCCACTGTCATAAGTTGCCACTAATATGGCAGAGGCATGTGCCATGGCACTGTGTGTGGAGACACAGAAGATAGCACCATAGGGGCCCTTTCCATGCCTGAGGAAAGATGGAGCCCCAGGACATCTGTGGAGGAAAGAAGGAGCAGGGCCTGGAGGCACAGAATAGTGCTTGTGTTTGTCAGCTTTCCACTATGGTGCCAGAACCCCTGAAGAAATCAACTTATTAAGGGAAAAGGTTTCATTGGGCTCAAAGTTTCAGTTTTCAGTTCATGGACACTCGGCCTTTGGGCCTGTGGCAGGGCAGCACATCATGGCAGGAGTGCGTGGTAGAAGAAGCTGCCACCTTGTGATAGCCAGAAGGCAGAGACAAGAAGAGGCTGTGGTCCCCAAATCCCCTCAAGGGCATCTCTGTGACCTGCCCAACTTCCTTCCACTAGATCCCAGCTCCTGAAGGTTTCACCACCTCCTGAAAGTGCTACACGCTGTGGGCCAAGCTTTTCAGGCATACACTTTTGGGGAACATTCCAGATCCAAGCTGCAGCAGTACTGCACATATGGCTAGACAGCCTGGGAATAGTGCGTCCCACTGGACATGGAGATCTGTTCGGAGACAGGAGGGAAATATACTCACAGTTCATCCCTGGGATGCTGGGCCTGGCTCTCCCCTGAAGCATGGGACGCTACCTGTTTTCAGCACAGCGGACAGTTCCTGGCCTTCATTCCAGTCCCTGTGTGTGCGGGGAGGGGGCAGTGCTACCCATCCTGGAAGCACTTTTTGGGGCCTCCCATGTGGCAGCAAACTAGGCTAAGCACTGAGACTTTAGCAGTGAACAAAAAGGACACCAGCCTGCCCTCCTGGGACTGCCAGCCTGCTGGAGAAACACGAGAGAGATGTGTGGTAAAAATTATGGAGAAAGTAGAGGCCAAGAGAGGAAGAGACTGTTAGGCAGAACATGA